AACTAAGTAGTGAGCTGCGGCCGACTTTGGATTTAAGTTCCGCTACTCGGTTTAGCCCCCTCCGTTGGTTTGGTATCTGGGATCCTTTAATCCTGTAGCTGCCGGAAAATGGAACACTTTGACGCAAATAATAGTTCCATCTCATAAACGAATAGACTCCTGCCATTACCGTTCGACTGTTTCATGTCTGCATGGCCTTGGTTACGCGAGTGAAAACCCCCACGTTTACTTACCTGCATGTTTCCTGTGGAGTGGAGGACAAATCTCAGCAGCACAACCCTCCTTTTTCCTGGACGTCCCTCCGTTCCTCGTTTGCCGATTTTGCGCCTCATCCATCTCCAATTCGACAAATCGATGAAATGTAGGCTTCCAAAAACACCGAAATGATCGTGTTTACAACGTAAGTAGCCAGGGCCTATGGTCCTAAACCTCTCTTCATTCCAGTCATCAGTTCTGCTTTTCTGATACTGCTTCCTCTGGCGCCATGGCGTCCCGATCCTCCTAAGTAAGAGGGACCAAGAAAAGCCATATAAAAAGCAAATAAAACGACAAGAGGCGAGGACTGTATCGCGTGCTGGCAAGTGCGGAATTTAACTTTGCAAGGTCACGGATAGAAAGGTGGTTCGACAACCGATGGTCGAAGCTGTCTGGTCGATCATAGCGTCTGCATCTTCTCATTAACCGTTGCTCCTATCTCGTGACGCCTTTTGTTGTCGCCTATCGTGTTTTACCTTTTGCTCTTCACTCTTTCCTTGGATGCAAAAATCCTCTGTGGCTTTTTTCTGTTCGGGACATCTAGCGCTGGAGGTAACGCATGAAATAAGATCTTTTAAGTCGAGGATGAAGATTGTTTACATGCTGCTGCAAAACATGTACTGCGGGACATCTCCAAAGCATATCATCCATGATCTCCCCAACAAGGCAAGAAGAGAGCGGAGATCCTGCAGGGTTAGATTTGTCGGTTACCAGTAGGAGAGCTACCAAAGCTAAAACAAAATAAGGCTCGCAAAGAAAAACGGGGCCTTCGCTGTCCTTGGTAGTTAGCTCCAATCGTATGCACAGGACAAAAACCGGCGGCCCGCTCGCGGGGTAATGCGTTTAAAGGGCATTTGCGCCAGGTTAACCGCACCACCTCGGTCTCTCGAATATGAAGAACTCGTTCCCGTGGATTTCTGCAACCGCTGAAGGTAGGCCGAGAATGTCACTAGAATTCAGTTTTGTTTGGCACATGCGGCTCATGATGAAAGCTCCCATCCTAGTCATAGATCATACACTTCAGATTTATGAATTAATTCCCCGAGGCAACGGGTTACAGGAGGATTTGGGGAAGGAGTGTACCGGGTATAGAAAGATGCCCCCTCTTCCTCCCTACTTTTCTGTCAGAACAACCAACACGCTCTGTTTGACATGGGTGTCGGCACTGGATGCCATCCTTGAGCATGCACACTAAATTAGCAGCCTCGCCGTGTTGTTGTTCAGATTAACTCTGTTGGGGCCACTCTAATCCCTCGCATATTGGACGCAGACAGGGGGAAGGGAGAGGGGGGGGAGAAAAAAGAAATAAAATCCAACTTGAATCCGGAAGGCTTCCTAACAGTTCATTTGTATCGATATCGCGCAGGGATGCAAGTGCATGCCAAGCGCCTTTAGAACGCGAACGAGGCGGCATGAACTGTTGGAGAAAGGCGCCACGGAGGGACACGGAAACAATACTTCTAACCAGGCTGCGTAGTGATGAATGGACTAAGAGTCTTATCCTATCTGCTCAGCCGAATGCTGCGTTTATATGACGACATTAGAGAGACACGGCCGAAAACTATTTTCCATGTAGCTTATGCAGCTAGCCGCTCTAAGAACGGCGACAGATAGTACCTTCATGTCAGCCCTGATGTAAATTTCACTCGAGAAGACCAAATTTATGAGGGTAAACAGGGCGTTAACGCCTTTTCCGTTCTCGGATATTCACATCGATCAACAGCCCGCCTTGGGGAGGAATATAGTTACTCGTCCTTCTGTACCAGAAACCAGAGGTGTATGCATATACGTACAGCATGCACGTTGAGTTGCAGGTGTAAGCCTGAACTGAGATGTCGTATTCCCAATAGCAGCACTTCGATGCCAGCCATATCCTGGGTTGCCTACCTGCGGGTTGCTACTACACCAGCTGCCGCCATCGATATTTTGTTAGTATCCCCGCCGCCGCGCTTCGTCGACGAGCAAAAATTTGAGTAGAGACGGTTAGCGAGGAATCATGTGACTCTGCGTTGAGCCTCCGTATATTGGCTTTGTCTGTAGAGAATTTGTCAACTATCGTGGGTGGAACTGGGATGTGCAAAAAGTTTGCTGTTGGGGGTATTTATATGCCCCGATCAAGAACGGCGCGGTGTCTTAAGCCACATAGCTCTCTAGTCTGCCACCTTTCTAAGCCTGTCTTCATGAAGAAAACACTGGCGCTGGCAGTATCCGTTTACATATTTACAAATATGTGTGCATATCGGCTGGTGTCCAAAACGCCTAAACCCCCCTTTTGGGAGATTTTCCTCTGCCATCGCTTCCCTGGCCACTAGTTAATGTCCGGTTGCTGAGGATGATATCTGGGCCGAATAATAGTAAAACGATTCAGATGACCAGATTTATGCGGTTAGATTAGAGAAACATCGGGCTGTAGGCTGAGTCAAATAGCTAACAACTCGAAGGTTGTTAAGGTTAGTGGGCCAAACTTCACAGGCTGCCAAGGGCAATTTTCGGGTATTCAAAATAGGGCCATCAATTGGGGCAACTGTGGAATATCCGTCTGGTTCAAAAGGGTGCGGTGCTCTGCCTGCCTATCATTTTCGATGCAATGTTGCCTGTTAAAAATCTTTCGTGTCTATCGTCTGAGTCCCCCTTAGTTGCCCCTCATCTGGTTGACCATAGATGATCGATTCTCTAGCACGGAGAGCTGCCTTCACGGTGTTCCATAGGAAGGCCCTAGTTGAGTTATCGCAAGGCCGCCGAGAGGAGGAGAGACACCATGAGCTACTCTTAATCCTCGACGATTGATGCCCAAAACGTCGACCCCAGCACCCTGCAGAGAAACAGACAGCATTCATCCACTAACTCCGATTTCGTCGAAATCTTAGCTCACTGCCCCGCTTCTCCTTGGGGTCAGATCGGGCCGCTTTGGATATTTCGTGTCCCTACCTCAATACCCCACGCAATGCTTTGGTGCAAGTCACGCTGACACAAAACACACGGTGGTATTATTGCGCAGTCCACAGCCCTCACCCCTAATGAAAGGCGCGCTAATTCAGACTTCCCTATGTTGCTTCGAATAAGACGGGCGCGCCATTGTGGGATGAGAGAAAAAATGTGGAAGGGGTTAATGCCTGGCGAGAAATATTCTGATGGCATCATAACCGGAGCTGTTTCCACGTCACAGCATTGTACTGTACTATAAGTACGAGGAAGAAGTGGTGTGGGAAAGAAAAGGCGGGTTGGATGCAGAAAGAAGAACTTGGCCTTGTCACTCCCTATAATCGTTGTCAGCTCTTTTCTATATCTTATCTTTCCTCTCTCCCTGCAAATCTACCCTTTCCGTGAGGTCTCGCTGGCACGTATTCAGTTCCCCTAACATCGCCCTTACTTTTATCCCTTGTTACCACACGTAATCCCTCAATAGCAGGACGCCCCAATGCCGCAACCACCCACACTTTTTCCAAAGCTCCATGTTTCAACCAACCTTCCGGAGCTTCATTCCGCTTCCAATACGATGGCATCATTTTCAGGCTTCGGCTCATCGCAGCATATTGCTGAAGGCGGGACCCAGCATCAAATATTTAGGGCGAAACGAAAACATGTTCTGAAGGCTTGCGACCGTTGCAGGGTAAAAAAGACAAAGGTCCACTCATAAAACGCCGCGATCATTTTTATTGCTCTCCTTGAAAGGCCATTGGACTTATAATTTTTCCAGTGCGACGGAAACCAACCGTGTTACCGCTGTGCGGCGTACAACCATCCATGTCTATTTCGTGAGCGAAAGGCGACGCAGACCAAGGCGTACTCAAGAGGGTGAGATCTTACATTCCTCTTTTGTGCCGTTTGCTTTCTCTCGTCGACAAAGGATTGACAAATATGTTGTCTTTTGTTTTTTGTTTTCTGTCATAGCTTTGTCGAAATGCTCGAGTCGCACCATGAATTGGTAGTGAAGGCGCTGCAGCAGTTATACACCCATTGCATAAACAATGAGTGCTTCCCAGGGGATCCAATCGATCTTGTGGATGGCAATCCATGCACCCACGCCATTCTGGATAGGCTAGGATTGATAAAACAAGCTGAAGAGGCCCCGGAGAAGATAGCTGATGAGACTTCATCCCCTACATTGTGCTGGAAAGGCCTCCCACAATTGGCTGGCTCTGTCGTAACGGATGAATTGTCCCCAGAGCCTACCAGTTCAGTTGAATTTTCTCCCTCAAGCAAGAGCGCTTCCGCATCTCCATCAGGGCCCGACTGCGTGAAGCTTGAACCATCGATTGGGGGACCTCATGTTCCATACTCATTTTACCATGGCAATGCAAACGTATGGCCATTGCTGGCGACAGGTACTGAATTTAACCATTCATACCCAGCTACTTTCGGAATGGCGACTGAATGTACCCCCAATGAGCCAAATGGTAGCCCAACTTATCTTAGCATTGAAACCGCAAATTCATTCATGCCAACCGGAGAACGAGCTACGGGACTATCGAGATCGGATCTGCAACTGGATGGCAGTGTCACGAATCCTCATGCTAATGTTCCTGGGCTGTACCACGGGCCATACCACACCGGAGATGGACAGTCTCTGTATTCATGGGCCCCTGGCAACTGGAATCGATGACAGAACTGACCTCTCTGGTTGTACAGCGGAGTATGGTAAACTTGCGGGGTTTTTGGATACGGGGTGACAAACAGCTCCCTCTGTCATAAGCTTGCTCTCGCTTTCGCTGCGAACAGATTTATTCAGTGCGTTTCTCTTATTTTCTCTGATCTCGTTTTACCAGTCCCCAGCGCCGGTCGTTCTATAAATATTCAACAAGGGGCAACTTATTGGGATTCTCATACCGTATATTCTCATTCCATTTTACGAATACACTTAGCCACTCGAACGGCACACGAAATCCGAAACGAGGAAATGGACCGGAGCTTCCATCACGACGATGGATTGTGGCTGTGTAGAAGGACCACTGGAAAACTGTGGAGCGGGGAACCGCGCGAGCGATGCTTGAGATCATCTGGCGGGATATAGGCCCGAAGCTCGTGTTATCCTTTTCATTGTTCTTCTGGAGCTCTGTCGCATTTCATATATCTTTCTTTCGTGTGGTCCCGCCACATTGTCGCACATACCTTTCTTTTATTGCAACAACATTTGGAATTGATTCCTATATTCTCTCATATTCAACGTTTTGGTATCATCGCATATTGCATAGGTGAAGGGAAAGCATGCGGGAAAGCATCGGAGTTTCTTTTTGGTGATGGGGAATCTACCATCCGAGCATTCGCCCCTCGTAGGGGACATCATGGCTGTCAGCTCGCTATACATATATATATTCTGCACATTCAGCTATACATATTTCATGTGCCTGCGCACAATAACCCCTACATGTACCTGAAATGTATCAATGGATGGAGTTGGGTTCAAGGGTCGACACTGATACAAGACGTGCAGTGTGGCATACATGATGAAGCGGGTACGCCCTGTCCTATCTTGGTTAAATGGAACGGACAAGCGAAGAAAAGAGGTGTAGCGTGAACGGGAAATGTGGCTATAGCAACAGCAGGTTCATGATGGAAGGGAAATGCGCAGTTAATGGGATATACAGGGGCAATATCATAGGTTGGGAGGTTGCTTGCACCAACCCAATCGATGCGCGTCAAATTCCAACGATATCACGGCGCGGAAGCAGAGGAAAAAACTTTGCGGAGCGCAGAGTCAAGAGGAGGTGGATTATTCGAGAAAAGTAGCATTAAGGGGCCGTCGAATCCACAAGCTGCACATGTACAGTACAATGGTTAAGGAGACCTGGAAAGCAAAAGAAAAGGGGTGGTGACAAAGAGGAGCGAAGCGTAAACTTGAGGTCAAAATAGAGATTTTTACAGCCTTTCCTGCTCAAGGATGGAGACTAGCTTGAAGTTCAAGTAGTCAAATATCATCGCTCCACACAGGACTGGGAAATGAACGGAATTGATATCATCATGTAAATAAGACCTGGACCCCACTTAGTTAGATATTGCCGGGAAAAAACAAAAAACACAAAACAACAAAACAAAAAACAAAACAGAACAATCCCAATGAGCTGGATTCCGAACTCTTCAACCTGCGAGCCGGTGATTCCCACTAGGTACTGGTCAGGTTGCTTCAGGCACGCGCGAAGTAACTGGAACATCACAGACCTCGATTTTGTCGGCTTTTGCGGCTTGGGCTTATTTGGGATTTGCACTTGAGCGTTGTATCTGCTACAGCCAGGAAACCTTGCTGGACATTTAACTTAGTTCCGCTGGCCTGGTTAGCCAGTAGCTTGTCGCTTGACTAGTTTTCATGTCAGAGTTTCCACTTTTCTTGTAGCTTGGCTTCTCATCGCTTGCGCCCCCCGCCCCTCTCCCTCCCTCCCTCTCTCTCTTTGCAGCGTGTATTTTGCCAATACTATCTCAATTCGCCCCGGAAGTTGGTCATGCTACAGTATGTGTGGTCTTTCTTTGGGCGTTGGCATGATACAGGACAGTGAAAGACGCATCCGGACTGGGCCTGAACAAAGGAGAGGGGCAAGGAGATCTTCGTCCAATGCGAAGTTCAAGTCTAGTTTAATTTTTAATTTGCTCCGCTTAGTTTATTCTAAGGGGCCGCCGTATTCGCTCCCGCCGTAGGAAACCTAGAATCCTTCCTTCTATATGTAGCCTCTTTACTTGAAGGGTGACCATTGATTCCGAACAGCCCGAAGTTACCTAACTGTGATTAAAAAAAAAAGGGGGTCAACAAACCCCGTAGTGAAGAAATTTGTAATGCGTTCGTGATAGAGGCATATTAGGTATCACGGACTGAAGAGAAGCTTGCAGGATTATGCGGGGGGCTCCCCAGACAGTGCATTAGACACCTAAGCGAAATGTATGTCATGAGGCTGGAAGGAATAAATCTAATCTATCGGCGTGCGCCCAGAAATGGAAACCAATGGGCTCGAGGAGGGATTGTTGAAAACTGTACTCTGTACAGGCTAGCAGTGCTTGCAAACCAGATCTTAATCGTAACTGTGGAGCCGAAGACACTTGTACAAAATTGTAACTGTACATCATTTACTCCTCTAGGGAAGAGGGGTTGGAGTCAAGTAACCTGAACACTGAGGAGCCCAGGATCATAATTTCCAGCATGCTATCTGACATTCCCTCATGATCGTTTCAGGAGGCCGAAAATCGATTTTCGTGTTTGCTGGGGTTCTTGTACAGCGCCGATGAGGAGTGTACCCTTGTATTTGCTGAGGATGCCCCGCCGGTGATATTTGTGGAATTTCTTCGTGGCATCGCCTCCAGCCACGCTGAGCAAGACTAAGCAAAATTCCAAGTTAGATACTGATTTTCCATCACGTCATGGTGGGGTGTCAGGGAACATTTTGACCAATTGATGCGCATGGAGTTTAAACTGCTGCAGAGTGACTTCGGAACGTATGGAATTCTCAAGTCGTTGGGTAGTTGGGCATGATAAAATGGTTGGGCTCCGAATGGCTGGCTAGCTGCAGTGTAGTAGTGCGGAACGTACTTTTTTTACCACCAGGGTGTTCATCCTGGAACTTGCTGATATCGTAAATATCTTGATCAATTATCACCCACATGTCTCCATCCTTATTATGAGATGAGACTTCCATCTTGGAAAACGATTTGAGGGCCGTCTCCGACATTTGGAAACGATGAGGAGAAAAGCCGATGTCCAATGCACTGAGCGGCGAGATATAATGAATGAACGCATACACTTTGCTAGTCCTTACTCCTAATGATATTCATGCAATTAGTAGGCGGTTATGTAGAGGATTGGCCTGGCTAGCAGGCCGTTTGGTAACTCCTTAAAACCCTTGAAAGTGAGGGAATGGCGGTCAACCCCTCCAAGAACTGAGCTCTGCAGCTCTCTCTCCTCAATTTGCCCAGGGGGCGAGGTAGATCGGGCTCCGGTATGTTTCTTCTCACGACTGAGAATAGGGGGTCACTAACGATTGCACCAAGTAGCAATAAGCTTCCAAGGCTATCACTGATGTCCCACGGGTGTTTGTTCCCTCAGGAAACTTCTCGGGGTCTGCGAGGAAACACATGCAAGAGGTTATGAACTCATGACGCGATGCATAGCTTGAACCTGAAGACGGTGATATCGCTGATAGTGGGGCGAATTGGCTCTTATTTAGTTAACCAATAGTTTGATGAAGTGGCATTTAGAGGGCTTGTTCAGCTGAGCCTTTGGCGAAAGTGACAACAACGCCCGCTGAGAACCAGGAAGAGCCAGTACGTCGAAACGAAAGGTAACTAGCCTTGGTCATCATTGGCATCATATTGATCAAGAGTATCGTTTGCCCAGGCCACTCACTGTACTTGCGAGTCTTTTACCCCTATCCAGTCCACTTCTCAAAACCCCGCCGGAATATTTATTAGTCCGCGGCTCTTCTGTGGCAACTTCAAGCACAACATTCCAAGGGTTCAGCGTGCGCGACATCAACGTCGCGTCGCTCTGCAATAATGGTATAAATTCCCACTGTCGGAAAAATTTAACCGCGTTTCTACCCTCTATATTCTGAATCCGCACACTTGATGTAGCATTACAACCATATCAAGAATTTTTCTCCGTTAGGAACATTGGTTAAGTTTGGCCCATAAGCAATCTCCCACTGTGGTATGCGGTAACTATGTAGTTATCACTTCCACGCAATAAAAAATACCTGCTCTTGATATCGGGAATCCGGACATGTTGCAGGCAATGTCATATCAAGGACAATTGGATGCGGGAACGTTCTGCTTCCGATGACAATAGAACATCTCGTTGAATGAAGCGCAAACATCTAACAGGAACGAGAAAGAATTTACATCATGTCTGTGGGATCATATCGCTGTGCTCTTGAAGCTTAAATAGACGGCATGGTACGTGCTCACGAGCTCTTATTCAGTTTCAGCGGGAATTGCGAATATGACCAACACCACCTCACACATAGGAATTGGTCTGAAATAATCTCTTGGATCTTCCAAAATACTAGATGTCATAGGAGCACATGTCGTCCTCTGCACGAATGACCGTTTGGTAGCTTACCTGGCTGGCATGGAACTGTCTCGATCTACGGCAGTAAGAAATGGGACATATCAAATCCACAAAAGCAGGACAAGATTTTGAGCCCGCACACTGAGAAGCCGCATACACTCAATCTGCAATATCAACTGTTTTGGTTTTGTCATCAGGATATCCTTCTGGTGCAGAACAACAGGAAATTCTGAGCTGGGTGGCTGCACCTGACTTCAACCAGATATCCATTATAATATTTGTTTGCGATGTTCTATGTCTTAGGGAATTTGATGCGATTGAAAACGTTTTAACTTACACGCAAATTTCGCTGCCCAAATTTCCTTCACGTACTCCTTTTCTTTTTTTCTCCACTATTTTATGCCGACAAATCCATGGCGGGCTCCACGTATGATTCTGTGGAGCCCGGATTATGATTCTCTTTTGAAGGGTCTCAACGGAATTCTATCATCATTAGATATTCTTGGTATCTACGAGTTTGCTATCTTTTAGGGATTGATTTCAGGCGTGCCCTGTCTGCTGGCCTGCAATGTCAAGACGTTGAAACCTTGCATGAAGTGGTCATGTCAATGGAACCAGCAGGAGTAAGGGGGCACAGTTATCGTTCCACGAAGCACAACTTGTGTAAAATCCATACATATTGGTGGACAATCGCGTTTGATGATAATAATTTTGCTCTATCCTTAATTGATATTAACCGAAGTGGGTATCTTTATAATTATTTAACGTGTTATATAGTCTAACGACCAACTGCCTCAGCCGCCCTCCCAAAAATCCTTGTACTGACACTAAGACTGGGAATTTTTCAACTCGTTCAGAATTTCGTCGATGCCCAACTCTTTCAAATCCAATTTTATCAACTCTCCTACGACATCTTTGAGATTTGAACCACATAGACTATCGTTGAGACTAGCACCTTCACCCCCAACCACTTCTTTGAGGACAGTGTCTAGGCCGTTTATGATATCCTTCACCCCGTCTCCTTTTAGAGCCTCCCTGAGGACTCCCATGATATCATCGAAGCCGTCTCCCTTGAGCAGGTCCAGAATGCCTCCGAGACCCTTACCACCCTCTGTTAAACCGCGAAGGGTCTGAGTCAGCACTTTTATGATTGATAGCGAGGTTTTGAGGGTGATATTGTTCAGGACGTCCTCAATGTACGTGATATGCTTTCCTTTATAGATAGTTGTATTGCCGTTTGCCGTGAGTTCTAGGTTCCCTTCACTAAGTGCCTTCTTCTGCCCTTCAAGTATGGGAACGAGATTAGCGATCGCCGATTTAATGTCGATCTTACAGTCACCGTTGACAGTGTTGTTGCCCGGCTTGAGCACCGCGTCATAGCGACCGCTTGGCCTAATAGAATATCACCAGAGAAAAGGTCTAGAGTTACAATTCCCTAGCACGCTTTTGTGAGCCTGAGGGATAACAGATGCGGATCTTGCGGATCTTACTAGCTGCAACATGATGATAAGAACCACTTTCAGGTTGGTGCCATCTTCTTGACAGGGAAGTGTGACTCCAGCAGATTCGATATTGAATCCTCTAAACATGTCCGGACCCGCAGCGTGATGACTTAGCCGAATTGGGCAAAGAAGAGGGTCTCTGTCGGGTTGCATACCGTTTAGCTCAAGTTTCTTGTCCAGTTTCACTTTGACCCTTAGTTTTCCTAGATATGCGGCTGTTGTACCCTCCACTGCTAAAACAAAAGTGCGGGTAAGTTCAAAGAGAAATTTTGTAAAGTCCACCTAATGCAAAATTGGAAGAGTTTCGTCGACAAGTTCTATCGTCGAATTCCCTTTTAGTTCGAGCCGTGGCAAAGGGATACCAACATACGCTTGTTCGGGGGTGTCCTGGGCTCTATCCAAGTTTATAGTAAGGGGGTCCAATTGCACTATGAATGGGGCAGGGACTTTAAGCCACGCCGAGATAGAATAGTCGAGGCTATCCGGCGTGGGATTCATGAGCTTCCCTGCGTGAACGGGAAGGCCTGTGTAGTCAACCATCCTCTGGACAAATGCAAGGAAAGCGATCAGAAAGTTAGATAAGTTACTCCAGAGTTAGCCTCACATTTTCGGAAAGGCTTACAGGATCAGAACATACAACTACAACATGGAAATTGACAAGGACAAGCATGAAGGGGGGCAAAGGTGAACCTCATAATACTGGAAGGGAAATTGCAAGCAAAATAATAACTCCTAACAAATGGCGCAGCCACCATTGTCTGTAATGTGCAGTCACCCTCTCACGACGACTTCGCTCACTCTTTAGCTACCTCAACATATTCAGCACTACTCCCATTCACTCCGACAACTGCCTTGGCCGAATCCTCAGGGAACTGCCCCCAGTTGTTCCCAATAACATAACCGGACGTCTTCTCTCGCGTACCCATGATGAGAGGCGACGTACACTCCGGAAGAGGACGATGGAATGGGCGTCCCAGCTGGTTTTGGTATGAATAAATTGCCTAGATCGCACAATCAAACATTTGTGTGAGCTCAATTGCATTCAACAACTGACGTCTGTGAGTAGCTTAGTTGGGTCAAGGGAAACCCCCAGACGGCAGACATTCATATTTCGACCACTCTATGGGGCCATGTCTTGCTCTGTTTAAAGGGCAGTAGGATTCGTCTTTCCTCAGGTTATATCCATCTGCCCCCACGATTGACTTACCCCACATTTTATGCATCCAACGTGGTAATCCTTGTTTCACGCCCCCAATTCAGCACGAGGCTCTGACATCATTAGTTCGTGTGGAGCAAGCTAAAGACGATCCATCACCACTCACGTCCTACTTATTTTTTTAGCTACATATAGGAAGCTTCCTCGGTGTTTGTGAAGGAAGCTTCTTCATGTGCTTTTTCAAGCAAATTCTTGCACGCACAAAATTTCCAAAAAAGGGGCAAACGGTTCGCTCCCGTTTGCAACATCCCAGTATAAGTATTAGTCAAGACATTGCTGGACTACTCCAACCACAAAAGTATACTCATCTTCTCGGTCATGTAGCCGTTGCTGCTGTCGGTAGTTATCGTCCCTATCTACGGAGTAGTGAGTATTCGGCCCAGCTTGCAAACGCGGGGAATGGTTTCTCGGATCACACAACTAGAGCAACAGGGGTTCTCTTCTAGCACAACCCTAATTACTTTCGCAGTGTCAATATAGGCAGTCAGGCTCATTTATTTCTTCATCACACTTATGTTGACTTAACACGTCTAGAGCTAGTATACTAGCCAACGATACTTACATAACCCCGATTTTGACTACAATCACCAACAGTAGAACAACAAGGCCAGAATGCTGGATAACTCTAAGAAGAGTGCCATTGCGTTCTTTTCGTCTACTTGTGTTTACCTCACTCTGCTCAGGTTTGCCTACTTCATGTCGTTAGAATGGATGGATCGGATTTGTCCCATGGTTCGTGCCCATGTGAAAATATCAAACCTGACCAAAGTACCTTACAATCCGCACGCTGAGCTTATGCGTTCGATCAAGATGTCGGACAAGAAGCCACATATCTCTTACTGCTGAAGAACCTCTATGTGGGCAATACTTCCGATTTTGCAACTTTGTTCCATGCGAGCACGCTCCTTCTCAGTGTTTACCAAATTTTAACAAGCCCAACATCCTGCGGAAGACAGACTTCACTCTTCTCACATATCTCTAGTCTTATTCTAAGGAAATAATAGCACTCAAGTACAGAGATAAAGTCCAAGGAAAGTGGTACTGGTACGGTGATGGCTACTGCGGAGAAAAGGTCCGTCGAGGAGAATGGCGTGAAACCGAATCCGGCGAACCCGGGGGGGGCATCACTTGAAATCACTGAAAAACCACCTTCCCGGGTTTCACCATATTTCCCCCTAGAATATGAGCCCAAGGAAATACAGAAAATTACCAAGGAAGGCATCCTCCTGGCAGGGGGAGCTGTTGCAATTTTGCTGCAGGTGGCCAATCCAGGTGTTGGACAGGGAGTGAACGAGCATAGCAACTTTGCATATCGAGTAGCCGATAGGCTGCGGACTACTATGACCTATATCTATACCATTGCCTTTGGCACTCCTAACGAGAAAAAGGCCATTGTCGATATGGTCCACCGCGCACATGCTTCAGTGAATGGGCCAAACTACGACGCCAACGACCCAGATCTTCAGCTATGGGTAGCTGCTACGCTGTACGCTGCAGGAGTGGGAATTTATGAGAAGATCTTCGGCTCTCTCGATGCCGAAACATCTGAGAAGGTCTATGCGGAGTATTCCGTTCTTGCAACTGCTCTTCGAGTTCCCGCTGGCAAATGGCCCGCCGACCGTCGCTCTTTTTGGGCTTACTGGGACGACAAGATCGAGACAATGGAAGTCACCAGTCACGCGATTTCCGTTTCAAAGGACTTACTGTGGCCAAAGAAGGCTCCCATTTGGATAAAGGCTAATATGCCAGCAGTTCGCGTGTTGACGGCTGAATGGCTACCGCCACGCTTCCGGGAGGCATATGGTTTGAAGACGTCCAAGTCGAGACGGAGGGTTTATCGGGCTTTGATGGGGATAACTAAGGGTATATATCCACATCTGCCAATGTTCATCCGAACAGCTCCACGAAACTACTATATGAAGGACATGCGAAAGCGGATGCAGGGTGTTGTTTACGGGAAAGTGAACGCTGGATGAGTGGATCTGCCACTGCCACATTCGGTTGTCGTTGACCTATAACCTGAATTTTTTTAAGTGCTTTAATATTATTTAAGAGATTAATCTTTTTTTCGATTTTTCATTGTTTGTTTGATTCTCAGTGTTAAAAAGGTCTGTTAGATAGAATTGGAGTTTCAGTTGCAGAAGATATGGGCGGGGTGATTACAGCGATGTTGTTGGTCTGTCTTTTTCGACATCCCTGCAACATTTTACCCGAACGTGTTTTCTTCCATGAGAATTAACGCAGCTTTAAGGTCGATGTGGTTGATATCTGGCAGGAATAGTTGTGCTCGCCTGCAAAATAATCCACTTTTTCTACATAATATTTTCTACCATTCCTGATGTTGAACACTGTTTTTCTTTGTACTGGAGCTTCGAATAAGGCGGCCACACACATATTTTCCTCGCAGCAGCAGACAAACGCTTGCTTTCACGAAAGTGTACTCAGTATATCGTAGAAAATTACTCGGGCATCCGCCCCAGAAGCCGAGCCGGGGTTGGCAGCGAACCATGGTAAGGAGTCGAAGCTTGGCTGCGGGGTACCCGCCGTCAGCAAACCTTAAACCTAAAGTTAACCTCTGTCCGCTGAGAAGCCAGAGCATTGACTGGCTGCAGGTTCAATGCTCGCACCTCGTTTGCCCTGTTGCTTTTTAGGAGCGTGACATCTACAATGTGTATGTCTGAATCATATCGGTGTCCTATCTTTTTATTGAAATGTTTGGGCGTTTTATTGGCGGTAGCATGAATAATTGTACATGTACATGTACTGTACATACAAACATGTGCCTATTTATGTTGTAGGAAGTAGGATTGAAGTCTTAAGTTATATTTGACATTATGGTAAGTAACTATGGAGTAGTAGCGCATCTATCTGGGAGTCAAAAAATGGGGATCTTCTAAGAACAGATAAATGATGGAAAGGAACTCAATCCATTTCCAGCAGGTCATATGCCAGCCTCAATCCCTGCTGAATGTTCAATGTAACCATTCCTCACTCCATCCGGATTAAGTCCAATGATTCCATCTAATCATCATATTTCATAATTCTCCTGCCATCGGAGTACATAGACACAGCAGGGTAACCGGAAGTATTGCATTTTCATTCCCTCACTTTACCCTAGTGGTGGCTGGAGTAGCATAGAAATCACCTTGGCTACAAGCAGTAATCACCTGTAATTGCAGCCAGTTAGCATTATGAAAGATACAAAACACGCTGGCTATCCGGTAAATACAACATACCGGGCCAAGTTCCTTAAGCAACTCGTTAAGTTGCTTAACCAAGTCAGCAGTGAGCAGGTTGCTGGCGTTGGTAATGAGCACTTTAGCTCTTTTGGTCCCGTTGACAGCAACGGTCTTGACAGCATTGAGGGTTTCAGGGCAAGGATTTCTTTCAGGCTTCCCAAGCTTCCCAGTAAATCTCCCAAAAACCTTCCAGGTTTGCCATCTTGTCATATAGTGGGTAGGGGGGCCGAGTGATGCCAAATCAATATACTCTTTGATTTCCGGCGTTGGTATGGAGAGGGCCATGACTGGCAAAATAAACATAAAAAGGAAGTTGAAGTGCTTCATAGTGGGAAAGAGAATATGAATCTTCTACTTTCAACCATCAATGGGAACCCAGTTTATGCTTTTAAATGCCAAAATATGTGCCATCCCGGACTACGAAAACAGCGGCTTCAAGAAACTCATACCAAGGGAGACTTACTAGTATGGGCAATGAGTAGCATGTGAAGCGATTGATCATAATGTAACAGAAGTTGGGGTGGGTGAACTTTCTAGACTCTACACCTAGAGCTCTCATCCGCAAAACTCCATATCAAGTTATGCCATGGGCGGAGCGTGGGGTTGGGGAAGCTTGGAAGGTTTTGAAGTGTAGCTTGAAATCTGAGGGAGAAGGGTGAGCCCAGATGCTAGCATTGATATATTTAAACAAAACCTGATACCCACCCTAATCAACATGATGTTTCTCATTGGATATCACTCAATGCATAACATTGCGAAGCTCTGAGGATCCAAACTAAGCTAACTGGAGGGTTATTCTCCCTGAGTGGCAAAGGTGGACCTGATTTCTAATGAGCTTGAAAAAAGTGTTTAATAAAAAATGTCAGGAAACTTTGGATTATATTGATGTACTCATTCAATAAGAATTTGTTATTTTCCAACTTACCGCCCTCTGGATGCCACAAAAAATCCCTGCTGCTCCCTCTCTAGAGCTGTAAAACGCTCGGCTCCCCACCATGGTGAAAAGAAAGCAACATTTGATAGAAGTCTTATGTGCACACTGTGTGCAATAGGCTCAAAGTAAACAATTTTCGAAGCCCTACCCCACCCCCGACGAAGGTACAGTATTGCCTGGAAATATGGGTGAAAAATAGTATTCTGGGGTAAAAACAGGCTATCCCCACTCTCGATGGGGGAAGGGTCACAAAATACGGCGCTAGAAATTGGCTCCGTCAAAAAGAGAATTCTAAGGGCACGCTGCCATTTTGTCAAGCATAGACCAGGACTGATGTGTTTACCCAGCTAGCTGGTAGCTTGCCGAGGATGGAACTTTCATGTGAACCTGAGCAAGAAGCCCGCCAATCAAATTGGATAGCCCTAGATGTTGATCCTGCGGGTTGGATTTGCAACAAACAGGAATCGGGACACAGTTAGTGAGGGCTGAGCTAAACTTCCAGGATCATTGATATTTTCCCCAAGGGTCTCAATGATGGGATAAGAAGCATATCGTAGTAGAGGGCAGTTAAGTGGAGGCTCACAAATCAACCTCGGCGGGCACCTCGGATAGCAGCTTGGACCTAGTATTAAACTGTCACTCACAGAAAACTTGATTGTTTTGTCCCCATCGCCCCTACCCATAGATTTAAGCTTGCTGTGGTTCCTGAAGTTTATTTCTGGCCTTCCCCG